TGTTTTGTTTTGTTTTGTTTTGTTTTGTTTTGTTTTGTTTTGTTTTGAAAAGAGAGGCCAGTAGGCTCTCCCAGCCCCGGACCTCAAAGGGGCTGGATCTGAAACATCATCATATTTCCCGGTAAGTCAATGTATTACCATCTTCTTTCTGCATTCATGCCTGGGCTGATGAGATTGTTCATGTTCCTTATCTAAAAGCACTCCTTGATCATTTTCCAGGCTCCACTTTGGAAGAACTTTGATTTATCCTAAGAAGTAGTGTACAGTGGGTGTAGATTCATTTTGGAGAAAATAGAGTATTCTGGGCATATGATTCTGTCTCATAGCCCTGAACCTTCCTCCATGATAAGAAGTACTAAGTCCTCAAGACTAAACCATTTTCCTTGTACATTGTTAACCAAGTACAGTCAAGTTTTGCTTCTATGACCTCAGTATATCCACAGATACTGGCCATTTTGTGTTGTTGACACATATTTTCTATACAGATTTTAATTCTACTTGTTGGACACAGAAGTCCTGGAAAGAAAACAGGCTTTGGATTTTGTTTTTTCCCATTATTAGTCATGTGACATCAATCAAGTGAACTAATTTCAAGCACAGAATCTAGCACGTAAGATCCTGCAATATAAGTTGTTGGAATAAATGAAGGGTTTTTTTTTTATTTAAACAAATTTAAGGTGTTTTTTCCCTTTAGACGCTTCTTGCCTTTAGCTGAATAAATATTCAGCTTTGAGTTTCAGATATTGCTTTGAGTTTCAATTTTCTCATCTCTAATTTGGAGATTTAATATGCTCTCATTTGCACCTCTGATTCAAGTTGAAATTTTCTATTCTGTATTCTTTAGATGATTTTTTTCTGAAGTGAGAATGCATCTCTTGTTTGGCTTCTGACTCTAAGACATTATACTCTGTAGATAAATCCCACCTATCATCACACAACAGTGTGAGAGTAGGGTAGTGAGCTTATGCTGACCTTCTCGAAACTCTTAGTCCACACGAGCCCTAAGTTTGCAATTTTGGCTAACCTGAAAACTGGTGACAATTATGAAAAGATAATTGTGTGAGTGTGTGCACCAGTCAGTAATTAACAATAACCTAATTAATCTAAACATTTTAATTGCTTGTATCACATATCTGCTAAAAAAAACCTGATAAAATCAAACCATATGATGTCAAGTTTGTAGGGTAGCCAATATCATCAGGTCTAAACACTCACATTGTGCTTGATGCTTCTGATGATCGGTTCCTTCCCTATAAAAAGAAGTGTCAATTTCTCTGCCTCACTTCTGGACCTTTCTATATGCCTGCTTCATTTACCCTTTCAAATATGTTTCCCATTATTCCTCCACAGAAGCTCCATGTTTGAAAAGGAGGTACTGCCAATATGCTTACTACTAAATATTGCTCAACCTGTTCTCCATTCTGGGATATCCCTTCCCCCTCTTGTCTTCCACACCTGCCTCAACTTTTCTATGTTTACAGATCCAGCCTGTCTGAAATTCTTCCAGCACTCTCCCTTGGCTTTTTATTTTTTATTAACCTACTCTTTCTGTGACACTTACAACATTCACTCTGGTCACACAATGTGTTTACAGTCTGTATCTAATTGTTCTGTATGTAATAGTTTTACTGTTTCTCTCACTGAATTGTGAATTCTTTGATTACAGACATGTTATACTTTTCCCAGCCTTACTCAGCTTGGAGCAGGAATGAGCTCAAGTTGGGCTATCAGTAATATCCTATACATATTACAGTAGTCTAGCAAAAACTTATATTTCTTCTATAAAATTTGTCTTTCAATAGTGTTATTTTCTGAATTGTACCGAACAGTGAGATATGGCCCTGAGGTTTGTTCACTGGAAAACACAAGAGGAGTATGCTTTCGGTCATTTTCTAGGTTGTGAAGCTAGTCCATATAATAAAACAAAAGAAAATCTATTTGGATCAGAAACATCTGGAGAGTCTGCCAACTCACTATAGGTAAACTAAAGCCTTGCTACTCAAAATGTGGCCCCATGCCAGGTGCTTCAATACACTTGCAGCCTATTAAAAATGCAGAATCACAGGCTCTACTCCAGACCTACTAAAAGAAAATCTTCATTTTAACAAGATCCTCAAGTAATTTATATGTCTATGAAAAATTTGAAAGACTGAAGTAGTTGATTCTTCATTATTCCCCCAAGGCCAAAATTTATGGATACTAGTTGGTGGGAAAACAGTGTGTAGTAACTTGGGGTGTTATCACCCCAACAGCTGCAGTGCATTGGCAAAGATCCGAGCTTCAAGTTCTACTGTTTACTTACTGGTTGGATAACTTTGGCCACATTCTGTTTTTAACATTTGAAAAAAAAAATAGGAATAATGAGAAGATTAATTATTTTTTATAAAGTATAAAGTGCTACACATGTATACACAAATATAAGCATTATTACTGTTTTCTCAGGTTTACTTAAATAAATAAATTATGAAGAATAAGTCTGAAGCCAGAGAATAAAACAAATGAAGAGAAATTATTGTTCTTCAAAGATTCTCCATCAGATTCGTGCACAGCTGATCTCTACACTGGTCTTATAGGAAAAAATAAAATAGTAAGAGTGAGCTGTGACTGTGAGTTCAACCAACTGCCTTTGAGCAGATGTTAAATTGCTGTGTACGTGATTCAATTCACTATGATCAAATGTCTGCCCTATAAAAATGCACAATTTGACTGGTAAGAATGTGATGCAAATATGCATAAAAATAAAATTTGTTTACAGTTTTAAACATTTCTGTTAAACACAGAATCAGAATTCCACTCCTTGCTGAGTTGTTTTTGCCCCTCCCATCACTCTCACTGGACCTGAATAAAAAGGAAGTAGTCAAGTTTATTGTCTGAAATATTCTAGGGCTTTCAGAAAACTCAACTTAGAGTGTCTTTGGCAGTTGGAAGGTTGCTTCTAGGTAGATAGTCATGCATAAGACACTGCATAGAAACTCTATGCCTAGTATTGCATTCTGTATCCTAGTATTGCATTGTAGGCATATCCTAGTATTGCATTCTAAGCATGAATATTTTCGAGGATAACAGCAGATGACAGAACTTAAAAGAAAACAGTCAATTTCACCCTAGAGTAATGTTATGCAAAAGATCTGTTACATTTGTTGCTTGGGAGTGAAAACATTTTATTAGCTCTTCCTTTGATACATTGAATGCTGGGACATGGATAGGATAAACAAGACATTTGTGAAAGAATTCATTCTTCTAGGACTCTCTGGTTACCCAAAACTTGAGATCATTTTTTTTTCTCTAATTCTAGTAATGTATCTAGTGATTCTAATTGGCAATGGTGTTTTGATCATAGCAAGCATCTTTGATTCTCGTCTTCACACCCCCATGTACTTCTTCCTGGGCAACCTGTCTTTCCTGGATATCTGCTATACATCCTCCTCTGTTCCCTCAACTTTGGTGAGCTTAATTTCAAAGAAAAGGAACATTTCCTTCTCTGGATGTGCAGTGCAGATGTTCTTTGGGTTTGCAATGGGGTCAACAGAGTGTTTCCTCCTTGGCATGATGGCTTTTGATCGCTATGTAGCCATCTGTAACCCTCTGAGATACCCCATCATCATGAGCAAGGTGGTGTATGTACTGATGGCTTCTGTGTCATGGCTCTCTGGTGGAATCAACTCAATTGTGCAAACATCTCTTGCCATGCAGTTGCCTTTCTGTGGGAATAATATTATCAATCATTTCTTATGTGAGATATTAGCTGTCCTTAAGCTAGCTTGTGCTGATATAACCCTCAATTATGTTACCCTAGCAGTTTCAAATATGGCATTCCTGGTTCTTCCACTGATAGTCATTTTTTTCTCCTATATGTTCATCCTTTACACCATCTTGAGAATGAACTCAGCCACAGGGAGACGCAAAGCCTTTTCCACCTGTTCAGCACATCTGACTGTGGTGATCATATTTTATGGTACCATCTTCTTCATGTATGCCAAACCCAAGTCTCAAGACCACCTTCGGAATGACAATTTACAAGCTACAGAGGGGCTTATTTCCATGTTTTATGGGGTAGTGACCCCCATGCTAAATCCTATAATCTATAGCTTGAGAAATAAAGATGTAAAAGCTGCTGTGAAATATTTGCTGAATTGGAAAACTGTTAACCAATAAAACCAAAGGGAAATGTGAGTCTTTAGTGTATAAAGAATAGAAATGGCATCTTTGAGCAACCACTGAGGACCTTCTTTGGGAAAGCAAGTTTATATAAAGAGAGATTTTTATTCTTTGTCTTCACTGGCCAAGTTTAGCTATGATTACTAAGAATAATAGTCTGCCATAAACTCAGGTTGTAACAGGGTCTGATTCGTGTTTCACAAAGACCATGAATTCCATTAGAATCTCATCCATGGTCATATCCGAAATTAGTATTTCTGGTGTCATGTGTCGCAATACAGTGAAAAACATCACACATAAGCTTTGGAAATAGAGAAGCGGGAGTATAAATTCTACCCTATCATAAAGTGCTTAAATTAATATTGGGAAAGTTATTTATTCTTTCTAAACTTTAGTTTCCTTATTTGCAAAAAGGGAGTAATTAAACACGGTTCCCGGTGTTATTATAAAGATTCAGTAAGTTGCACAAAGCACCTGGCATAGTGCCAAGTTCATAGTAGTTCTCTCTGTAGAGGATGTTGAGCTTGACTTTTCCTGTTGACACAGAATGTAGGAATTGAAGACTCCAAATTGAAGATAAAAGACACTAGCTAGCAGCTCTTAAAAAAACCTTCCAGTTATTAGGATCAGCTATCCCTTTCTTAAGTCTTATTAACATCAGTCACCACTTTTCCTTGCCCCTTCTCCCTGCATAGCTATGTAAAGAAAACATCAAGAAAGGGAAAGGTAGAATCAAAGGAAATTTTACATCATGAAGAACTCAGTGAATCCTGAGAGGTGTTTCACTGCTGTCCCTGTCAAAGAGTGGGAAGACTGTTCCAGCCCAAGCCAATTAAAGAGGATGCTGCAAAAGAGCCTCTTGAGGTTGGGGGTGCCTGCAAAGCAGAGCTAATGTTTGGCTTGATGAGTGGAGGCTTGCTGACCTTCTGTCTAGGCTGTAGACTAAGCTGATGAATTAGTCTAGAAATTGCCTGGTGGATAATAAGCTCATTTATCTTAGGGGTGAAAATAACCAGAATTTTTCAGTTTGTGTGAAATGTTTCTCGGGCTCTGAAAGAGGGCTGAAATTAGTGTCTGGGAAGAGCAAATCATTTCATTTTATACTCCAGTGAATTGAAACTCCTCAGTAAACCTATTACAGGTTTTCCCCCCCTTTCTGTAGACTTTCTTGCCATGTTGAGCACAGCAGACCATTGGGCCACATCACCAGCCATTGTGACCTCTGGTTTCAGCCTGATTTTCCTATCTAAATTTTCTCTTTCCTATTGGTTTTAGAGTCATCATACAGCCCAGGCCTCCTAGTTTGGAGCTGTACTCTCTGCCAGTCTACATCTTGGAGATAAATCTTGATTTTGACCTAGTAATCTGGTCACTAAAATCTTGCTGCCTGTCTGTTTCCAGTCGGAGTATTGTCACTGCCAATAAACCTCTAAACAGTGGGTGCTGCTTTTGATTCTATTTAGACAGGCGTGTACCAGACCCTGTGGGTGAGGCTTTTTAACCTCTGCCCACTCCCACTGGGATGAGCCCTGTATTTCAGTCTGATCCAGGTTTAATTCTTTTCAGATTTTGACCTCTGCCATCAAGGTTTTAGGCACACTGCTGCATGTACAACGATGTCCTGCTTCTAGTTGTCCCAGACAACTCCTTAGCACCTCCTTTTCCACAATAGGAAGGGTACTAGTGTCTCATATGCATGTTTATATTAGATTGTTTGCTTTACTTACAAAAACTGATTCTAATTTACATTGGTATGTATAAAGTTGACACAGTGTTACCTCAGTTTAGAAGTTCTACTCATGTTGATGAATGCTTAAAGTTAACAGTTTTAATACTATCTGCCTGGGGCGCTTGGGTGACTCAGTCGGTTAAGTGACCCTCTCTTGATTTCACCTCAGGTTATGATATCAGGTTTCATTAGTTTGAGCCCCACATCAGACTCTGCATGCTGACCATGAATGGAACCTGCTTGGGATTCTCTCTCCCTCTCCCCCCCCCCCCCACTGACTCTCTCTCTTTCTCTCAAAATAAATAAATAAACTTAAAAAAAAAACCCAAGCATTAAAAACAAAACAAAAAAAAAAAAAGATGACAGGTTTAAAAACAAACAACCAAACTAATCTGTCTTCCCAGGAAATTAAGAAATCTCAAAAAGACTTAAATGTATTATTTTGTGACAAATAATAGTTTAGAAAATTCCAGAAACTATAAAAAAATAAGCATAAAAACTGTTTTCTCTGTTGCTACCTCCTACAAGTGACCACTGTTAACATTTTAATTATTTGTCTCACTAATTTGGAGTCCTAAAATTAATCATTTTCATGTTGATTTCTTTTGATGCACTATATACCCTTGAAGTTGCTATTTCATGTTTAAAAAATGTGTGTACATATCTCTGGGTTTCACAGAATAAATTCTAGAAAATAAAATTACTGGGCCAGATGATATGGTTTTTTGAAAACTTCTCTTACTACATTGTACTCCTGTCCCCAAGATCATATTATCTGTTATCAATGGCACCATAAGGGTTTTCACAAACATTTGCAGCTCTGGTCTGTGTGTGTTGACATATATAAAATTCTCATATTGGAAATCTTCAAGCACTCATAAACTGAAAGATAATATTTAATGAAACTTCATGTACCAATCACCCAGCTTAAATAATTACCAGTTCATTATTTTATTATCTATACCCACTTATCCCCTTCCTCCGGGCTTTTAAGCAAATATTGGATATATATGTGTGTGTAAATAATTTTTATTTTGACATAATTTCAAACTTTGAAAAGTTACAAGAATCACACAGGAATTTTCCTTAAGTCTTTACCCCAAATTTTCAGATACTAGCATCCTACCATATTTGCTTTATCATTTCTCTCTTCATATATACGTGTGTGTGTGTATTTTATATATGTATATGGAAAGAACTGTTTGAGAGGAGGTGCAGATATTATGTATCTTTACCCCTAAACATTTTATTTTGTCATTCTTAAAATCACTCAAAGTCATTGTTTTACGATAACCAGAATACAATTATTGACATGAAAAAATAATACTATTTAGTTTAGCAGTCAGCAAACAACGACCCTGGACCAAATTTAGCCTGCCAGCTGTTTGTGTGTGGTCCATGAGCTAAGAATAATGTTTATGTTTTTATTTATTTTTTTATTTTTTTTCAATATATGAAATTTATCGTCAAATTGGTTTCCATACAACACAACACCCAGTGCTCATCCCAAAAGGTGCCCTCCTCAATACCCATCACCCAACCTCCCCTCCCTTCCACCCCCCATCAACCCTCAGTTTGTTCTCAGTTTTTAAGAGTCTCTTATGCTTTGGCTCTCTCCCACTCTAACCTCTTTTTTTTTTTTTCCTTCCCCTCCTCCATGGGTTTCTGTTAAGTTTCTCAGGATCCACATAAGAGTGAAAACATATGGTATCTGTCTTTCTCTGTATGGCTTATTTCACTTAGCATCACACTCTCCAGTTCCATCCACGTTGCTACAAAGGGCCATATTTCATTCTTTCTCATTGCCATGTAGTTCCATTGTGTATATAAACCACAATTTCTTTATCCATTCATCAGTTGATGGACATGTAGGCTCTTTCCATAATTTGGCTATTGTTGAGAGTGCTGCTATAAACATTGGGGTACAAGTGCCCCTATGCATCAGTACTCCTGTATCCCTTGGGTAAATTCCTAGCAGTGCTATTGCTGGGTCATAGGGTAGGTCTATTTTTAATTTTCTGAGGAACATCCACACTGCTTTCCAGAGCGGCTGCACCAATTTGCATTCCCACCAACAGTGCAAGAGGGTTCCCATTTCTCCACATCCTCTCCAGCATCTATAGTCTCCTGATCTGCTCATTTTGGCCACTCTGACTGGCGTGAGGTGATATCTGAGTGTGGTTTTGATTTGTATTTCCCTGATGAGGAGCGATGTTGAGCATCTTTTCATGTGCGTGTTGGCCATCTGGATGTCCTCTTTAGAGAAGTGTCTATTCATGCTTTCTGCCCATTTCTTCACTGGGTTATTTGTTTTTTGGGTGTGGAG